AGTACATTAAAACATGTATAAAGTACATTAAAACATATATAAAGTACATTAAAATATATATAAAGTACATTAAAACATATATAAAGTACATTAAAATATTTCAACAGCATATTTCCACTAACCATATCTAGTTCCTTATAACCAAACTTGTCAAATCCTTCTGGGCTTGGGGGTGAGAAGTAAGGTGATGCAGGGATTATTGCAGGCTTTGTTCTTGTTGAGGTTGTAGGTGCTTCTGTTGTTGTGGTTGTAGATGTTTCTGTTGTAGGTGTCTCTGTTGTTGTGGTGGGAACAGCAGTAGTTGTTGTTGTGATTTCATTGCATGTTGTTGGTTCACCAAGCCAGGATCCATTTGCTGAACACTCTAGTGTTCCAGTTGTTGTCTCCTCATATCCAGGTTTGCACCTAAATGTAACCTTTAGAATGAAGGAATGATATTAGATTGGACCCTCAAGTAACAAACTGCTCAGTTATAAAAATTCTGGTTAACAAGCTTTTGGTTTCCAGGAAAAATCCCCGTCAACAAATCAAAATTTGGTTACCAAACTTTTTTCTGAGATAAAATCCCAAATTTAAGAATTCAAAAATTTAATTTTGAGGCTGAAATTTGAAGTACACTGCAATCTAAGTGCAAAATTTTCATTTTCACCTGACACGTTTCCTTCAGGGTGTGTTTATTAAAACTGGTGTGGAGCTTTTTATCTTTGTTTTCATCAGTGCCACTTCTATATATAACACTGGGAAAAAATTCTGGGCACATACTGTATAGATTATAGAAGATGCAACAACTTATTCTGATTACAGTTGAGGGTCTTGAAATTTTTTTTCAACGTTCAATGGCCTTTTGGATTCATGGAATTGATTAAATTCTTCCCCATTGAAGTCTATGGGAAAATCAAATTCAGTCAACAAACTTTTTGGATAACACATTTTTGTCTGAAACCAATCAAGTTTGTTAAACAAGATTCCACTGCATTCCAAGCAAATCAGTTTTGTTTACAATTTAAAACAATTGCAAGTACAGTACTGTACCTTTGATCCTGAGATGAGGGTTGAGTAGTCTGCAACCCCATTGGCAGGGTTACTTGGAGTGGGACACACTTTAATAGTTCTTGCTGTTTCCATAGCTGATCTTTTGTTCAATAAACTGATAATCAGTTGGACGGTATTCATGGCAATTTGAATGCTGTGTGATGCCTGGTAATCCATGTAACATGCTTGCACATTTTGGCACACATCCCGCACTGATTCTGGGAATGATTCCTTAGGTTCAAGGAGAAAAACTGGTACA